TCTGCCCTTTCCCCCTCACGTATTCCCCCTCACGTTTCCTTTCCTCTTCCCCTTAATTTTCCTTTACTTTTTACCCTCAGTTCAAAGTCTTTAGATGATGTCAGGGTGATGGAAGTTTCCTTCAATTTGATCCTTAAATTTACAGAAAAAGGAACCTCCCTCTCATTTGAGATGGTGCATGTTAAAATCCCCTCAATTTTAACCCCCCTAAAAAAAGGGGAAAAAAAGGGGGAGTTACCCTCACTTTAACTTCCCAAAATGCTCTCCCTTCTCATCACTGGTTTTCCCTCAAGAATCCCATTTTTGGCTATCTTTTCCCCCAGGTCTGTCCCCTCAAAGGGAAGTGCCCTCCTCCAGGTACTCAGCAATCCAAACCCTGCAAAGTGAGGGACAGAGGATTCTTCCTCTCTTTAAACCTTAAATAATGAACACGGAGGGTTTGCCCTCGAGCCAAACCCACCAAACAGCATCACTAAGGTTTCCCCTTTCCATTTACACCCAAACAGTGGGAAAAAACACGAATTGAAGCCCCTAAAGTCATGGGGTGGACAAATTTGGGCAGCTGCAAGTTCACAACACAAACAGATTTGGCTCAGGGAAACTATATAAACATTTTAAATGCCCGAACAGCTCTTGCTTACCTAGCACACCTTACCTGGCTTGAGGAGCTGCAACTCTGTGCTGTGATGGCACCATCACCTTCCCCTGGGAGGGTTTAAGCACCTAAACCATCTGGGGGTGCAAAGAAGCAGATGATTGCTCTGTTATTTTCATTACTACCCCCTGCCCTCACACCCAACCTGCCCAGGGTTGGGGCAGAGCTACCTTAGGCCCAAAGGCTCTCACACACCTTCCACTCACCTTTCAGTATCCCTGGGAATGCTCCAGGCTGGGTTGGATGGGCTAGGGGAAAGGGTGAGATGGGATGAACTGGTTTTTAAGGTCTCTCCCAGCCCAACCAGTGTGAGGTGTTGTGTACCTGCCCCAAACAAGCCACACCTGAGGCTGTGAGTGAGGATGCTGAGGCAGGAGCAGCTGAAAAAAACCAGACAGCTTTGACCACGAGATGGCATTGTCTGAGCTCCTCTGGCTCAGGAGAGCTCCAATTTGCCATCTCTAATCATCACAGCGCTAATTAAGAGGGGAAGCCTCCAGCCCTCCCTGTATTTGGTGCAGCCCGTGGCAGAGCAGGCGTTGTGAGGAGGCTGATCCTGCTCCTGCAGGATGATGGTGCTGCTTTCCCAGAGCTGTGAGGCAGAACTGAGGGACAAGTCCCTTTAAAAAAAAAAAAAAAAGGGAAAAAAAAAAGTGGAATACAGTATTGTGCATCTTGAAATCTGAAACCCAGAAACAGGAGTGCAAGGGAAACAAGGGGGAAAGTCTTGCGATTCCTGAGGACAGCTGAGTGGAGTTTTAAGGAATACAATACACATCCATCCCTTTAGAGGTCATTGAATGGTTTTTTGGTGGAGAAACCTGCGAAATAAAGGAGCCTGGAAGCAGAAGAGATTTCTTCTCCTCCTCCTCCTCCTCTCGGGATATAATGGCCATTGCAAAGCAAAGCATCTGGAGATTTGCCTTCAAATGTCTCTTCTTGGCAGTTTTTGTGCTCACCTGTGATGGACACGGCGGAAAGAGAGAGAATGGTCCTGCCTGCTACGGGGGATTCGATTTGTATTTCATTCTAGACAAGTAAGTCCCATCTACTTTGTTCTTTTTCAAAGCCATCTTCCTCCAGGCAAGGAGCTGAACAGTACATACTGATACCGAGGAGGTTTTCTTGGCATTTTGGTTCTGTAGCAGTCACTGTGCCCCTGAGAGAACTCATGGCCACTCGTTTTGGTTTTGTTGGGGTAGTTTCTTTGGTAGGTCCAATGCACAGTCTCATTGTGCTCTGTGAACCACACGGTCAGATGTTCTGCTGGTAGGGAAGCTTTGTTGTGTGCTCAACCCTGTGGTTTGATAAAGGAGTGGTTGGGAGAAGGGCAGCACCTTGGTGCCCTCTGATTTATCTGTGAGTGAATTCTGCAGCTGGAAACGTGGAGCAAGAACTCTCCTGCCTGGAGCTTCTGCTCCTCAGCTCTGAACATCCCAGAGCAGCCACTGCAGGGAAAAAACCAGCTCTGAGGGGCTATTCCCTCCCAAAGGGTCTGAGTTTGGCCACTGACAGAAAACAGAGTGCTTTGTTTAAAAGAAAGGTTTGTTTTCTCCAGGTTTGTTTTCTCTAGCTGAGTCCCATTTTCTTTGTTTCATGTTAATCAAATGCACATTTCTGCTGTTTACACCAAAGCAAACTTCCTACCTCACTTTTTCATCACTAATTGTGGTAGGGACATCTCCTTGGCACTCTGAGTGTGCCTCTTGTTTGGATGTGGATGGAGCAATGTGAAGTTGATATGTGCTGAGCTTTGGAAAACTTCACAGTGAGGCAATGCAACAACTTACAGAAAAAATAAACAAAATTAAAAAGAACACCCAAACTCAACCACTAGCTAAAATGATTGTCCTAATTTTTTTTTAGAATCCTGACTCTGAAGCAAAGGTTTGGAAATGCTGGAGAACATTCCTGCCAGAGCCATGGCACTGACATTATTAGCCATAAATTTCAGAGACAGGAAAGTATTTGCAAGTTGCCAAGAGCTCTTGCAGATGAAGAGTTCTGACTGATCCTCTGGAGTGTTTTGCAGTAGCTCCCACATTCCATCAGTAAAAAATGACTTGGAATTACATAACCCTTTATTACCAAAGGCTGGGTAAGAGCTAAGGCTGAGACAGTGGTTGTTACAGTGTGCCAACTGTCCTGATGCTCCAGGGGAGAGATTGATTTATTTATCAGCTTCATTCAGTGGAAAGATGTACCTGGCTAAGGCTTTTTCTGCCTTGGCTGTTCAGTTATTAGCTGGAATACCTCTATGGCTTCATAAGGAAAAAAAAACCCAAAAAACAGAGCAACTCAAAGCAGGATTTGTCCTGTAGAGAGGTTAGGCAGCAGTAGAGGCCTCTGATGCTGTGACCATTGGATCTCAGAGTTGTGCTAAAGACATGGAGCTGCTGGAGCAAGTCCAGAGGAGGAGAACCTCTACTACAGAGCCAGGATGGGAGAGCTGGGGGTGTCCAACCATCAAGTCATATGCATTTTGTTTGGCTGGCAGGGGCTTGCAAGCCTGTGGAGGGATAGTTTTTGTCTGTTAGCATGAGGGCTGAGGGATGCCAGCAAGGCAGGGTGGAGAAATTTGTGCCTTCTTGTGTCTTTTTGTTGTTGCCTGAAGGAATATAATTAAATCCTAAGTCTGCTGAGGATATGCAATTGCAATGAGCCAAGTTAATGTGTGAAATCCTTGCCAATCAGGACCCGTGGATGTGGTTTTTACCCAGTGGTGCATCTAAGGTAACTAATCCTTGTTAAAAGGGATGGGTTGGACCTTCTTGCAGCCAGGATTACGTGTGGGGTGCAGCATTCTGCACTGAATCTGCTGCCTGATGTAAATTAAGCCCACTTACTTGTTTATTAGTTGGGTTTTGCATATCCCCTGCCAGCCAGGAAGAGAAGAATGTTCTTGGACTGTGACTGGGTGTAGAGGCTTGTCCTGCTCTGAACTGAACCTCTGTAGACCCTGTGACCTCAAGCCTTTGGCAGTGTCCCTGGTGAGCTGTCTCGTGCGAAGCGTGGCACGAGATAACAGTGTTTCCTCAAAGAGTTGCGTCACCTCTCCAAGGCCTTTGTGTTATTTAGGGTTTTCAAAATTGCTCCTGAAATATTTGGGAAGACAAAGGATGCTTTTTGGCTTGTTTGTGTTATTTTTAAAGAGCTCAATAAAGAGATTCTGCATGACTTCTTCACTTCTGAGAGCGATGAGACTTCTTGGAGTCAATCCTAAACTGTGAAAGTTTAAGAGATTTTGGATCAACAGCATCCTCTGAACCAGCTGCAGTGCACATAGCTCTGGTGAGGTTTTGTGTAAGAGTCTGTGGACTTGATTCTGTGATTCTTCTAGTTTGGGAACTGAATAAACCCATGGGTGTTCTGAGAAGGTGCAATGACAGAAATGGAAATAAGGAGTCTAAGAAGTGCAAGAAAGACAAACTCTAAGCAGGTTTGAGGTGCTGCAGCTTTGGGTTATGGTGTATCTTGTCCCAGTGAGCAGGAGGAAAGCACCTGCTGGAGGGCAGGGCAGGGCTTGGCCAGTGTGGTTCTCCTCTCTGGACCCCCAGAGCCATGTGGAGTGCACTTTAGATGTGCAAAGTGCCAGCAGATTGACCACAGAATGCATCACTCTCTTGTTAAAGGCATAATGGCTTACTTAGCCTTCATTTCCATCTATTGGGCTCTTCTCCAGAAGAGAATTTGGCATCCTCACGATGAGCCTTTACTTAAATTGCAAGTTTATAGCATCAATCACTCAGCTGCAAAGTGTTGGCTCACTCATCATCTTGTTTCTGCTGGGAACATGAAGAGATAACTATTGTAAATTTGGCTTTTCTTATCTTACAGTTAGGCTTTAGAAATACTTGTCCTGCTCAGAGTGTGAAGTGTGTGTCAGAAGGTGCTGTACAGACCTGGGCATTGGCAGCTCCTCACACCTGGGCTAGACTAGGGGGAGAAATGGACTCCAAGCAGACTGTGAGCTGTCTAGCCACAGGTGGAAACTTGCTGTGCAGGAAGGAAGAATGTGTGGTCAGCAAAAGTCTGAGCCTTCGTTTTGGGACCCTTGGGACTGGAGTGCCTCTTGCATTCAAGCTATGCCATACATCTGGGGGGAATTTGCACCCAGAGTTGTGTCTCTGTTCTATGAGTTTGAATGCAGCAGGAGTTAAGTTTCTTGTCTGAGTCTAAGGCTGTCCTGGGACATATTGGGGTCATACAAAGAAAGAGCAGCCCCAAGTGTCATGGAGCAAGAAGGTAAGGCCAAGGCTCTAACGGAATGGCTGTAAATGAAAAGCAGGTGTGGGGAGAGTGGGGAAGGAAATGTGTGTGACCTGCACAGTGTGGTCTGCGTTCTTGCCATGCTCTGGGAGGTGAAGTAATGCTCCCTGTGGCCAGGCTGGACTGGCTGTACCAGGTGTGCAGGGCCTGGGGGAGTCTGTTCCTGGCCCTTCTCCTGCCTTCTCAGACCTGAGGGAGCACAGAGCAGGTCAGGTGCCTCTTCCCCCTGTGAAGTGAAAACCCATCCCCTCAAACATTACCTTTCCCTCCTCAGGCTGCACATCAGTGAGGTTTCTGTTAAAGCTGGAATGGTTATTTCCCCTAAAAATGCTTCTAATTGTAGTCAGTGAATTAAATAAGTGATGACACATTTGCTTTCCAACTCTAGGAAGGAAATTTTTTTCCAGTATTAATATTCCAGTGTTCATAGAAGTGTTTATGCCAGAAGGGGCATTTAGTGCTGAAAGATTCTGATTAACCTAGTTTTTTCCTGGTTCTTAGAACATAAAAAAGAATAATCCAATCCCATTAGAGCCTATGGTTTATCCTCCTGAGGAGCAAAATTCATTTGTTTTGTCTTTAACTGAGGTGTGAAAGAATTAGCCAGATCAGTTGAGCTGTGGACTAAGGTGTTTTACTTTTTCTAGTCTCTGGCACAGTGCAAACACTAGAGAAGTTTAATAATCTCCTCTTCCAGCTGTGTGTTACTCTCAGAACACACTTGAGCTTAAAGCTCTGTGTAATGGTTGGGAGTGAGTGGGTGGAATTCATCTCAAACACTGCAGAGAGACAGGTCTTCACTCCCACTGGGCTGGTTTGGGTTAGGCTCTGCTTAAAGTTCAGCCTATCTTATTGCCATGGGGAGCTTCAAACACTGCAGGGAGTGGGAATGATTCTTGCTTTCCATGGGTAAGTAGGAAACGTCATTGGCAGTTTAATCTCTCTTGAAGGAAGAATATGAGCAGTGAGTGTTGCACAAAATTGAGGCAAACACCTAGCTGAGCAGTGTGGGCCAGAACATTGGGCTGGGGAAACTACACCACAGCAACCAAACTAATATCTCCTGCAATCTTTTGTTTCCCTAGGTCAGGAAGTGTCCTGCACCACTGGAATGAAATCTATCACTTTGTGGAACACTTGGCTCGCAAGTTCATCAGGTGAGAGGAGCTGCAGGGCCCTGGATGGGAGGGGGTACCAGTAGCTCCCAGTCTCAGCACGTGCTGCTTTCCACTGGGGGATGTGGTGGAGAGAGGGTTCTTACAGCTTTTCTTAGCTCATCCCAGTGGCTGCTTTTCCCCAGATTTCTGTCCTGTGGGAAACAAGAGAAGATAAGCTCATTGTACCCTTTATTTCTGGATGAAATTATGGAATCCTGTTTCTGAGCAGCAGGTTTGGGTCTGCAGGGAGAAACCTGTGGCTGTAGCTTTCAAGCTCTGAGTGACTTGAGGAAGAATCCAGATCATCCTGTGTGGTTGGTGTTGCACACACAGCAAGCTCTGGACCACCAAAATAATTCACTTTTTTTTCTCTCCTCCAGCCCTCAGCTGAGGATGTCCTTCATTGTTTTTTCAACTAGAGGGACAATTCTAATGAGGTTGACAGAAGACAGGTAAGAAGAGGTTTAAAGGTACACAGCAACTTGTGTCCCTGTAGCTTCCTTCACCTTCCTTGCTCAGTGATTTCCAGTCCACTGTGAAACACTTTGTGCTTCTCAGTGTAGTTGTTTGAACCACTTGCCCATTTTCACATCCCAGAAAGCATAAAGGCCTCTCAAGGCAGAGGATCTCTTCTTAATTTCAACTTCTAAATGTCTTTCAGTCAGCAGTTAGTGCTCAAACTGGTGTTGAGGGAGTCCTGACACACAGAGTGAGGCTTTTGTCAGAGAACTGAAGACTTGTTGCCTGTGAAACATCCTTTGGGAGTTTCTTCTGCAAACCAATAGGTGAAACTCCCTTGCCATAAAACCTGCCTTGAAGGAGGTCGAGGGGAATGTGATTTCTTTGAGATCTGAGGGGATGTCACAGCCAATGTTTGGGATGGATTGCAAGGGGCTGTGTTTTTGGCAGGAGCAGTTTGATTGCCATGTTTCTCAAGCATGTTCCTGCCACCCCTTTGTAGATCCCCAAACTAATCCCAGTAGAATCTATGGGATGGATTCTTTTCTTTCACTCTGACTTCAAGGAGAGCTGGATGAGCTCCTTAAATCGCTCTTGCTTCCTCTGTTAACTTCATTGCCACGTGGAGCAAAAATATATGTAGCACATGTGTAGTCTGTATAAGTCAGCATGTGTTTTACATATTGGATGTCTGTGAAACCACATACCAGAGCAGCTACCACGGAGCAGCAGAGAGGAAACTGGCTGCCTTCCTGCAGAGCACTCCACATACATACCAGCCTTGAAAGTGGCCTTAAACCCAGCCAGCCTTGGCATCTCCTGCCACTTACTGAGACAGCAAAGAGAAGGAACCATATTTAACTGGGTGCCAGAGGAAAACCTGTTCTCTGCCTCTTCGTGTCCCCACTGTGAGCACACCCCATTGAAGAGATCTCTCATCTGCTGAGGCTCTGAACTATGAGACTGAAGTGTTTCCCACGTGGAAATGTATTCCATATTTATCCAGCTGTCCTAGAAATGCTGACTGGGAACAGGATATTGATATGGTATTAGTCTAAAAGCCAGCTGAACTGGAGAGCTGCTGGTTTTTATTGGGGCACAGGCAAACAAGGTGGGGGCTGCTTGCTGGTCCTTTAGGTCACACTGAACATTTTTAGCCTGAAAGCTGAAGTAGTGGGAAAACCTCCTCTGCCTTGTCTGTGCCTCTATGTGATGTATCAGCATCTGAAGGTGGAGACTGAGGGTGCTGAGCATCCCTTAATGGGACTGGATTGACATGTTTTAAAGACTTTTGCTGTGTATTTTAAAATTTCAGTGTCCCCATTTTCAAAATAGTTCTGATGACAAAAAAATGCTCAATTGATGTTCAGCTTTGGCTTGGTAGGGTAGCTGAATGGAGGAAATATCTGCCACTAGCCCACTTAGAAGGGTGTCTAACTGGTTTGGGACATCACAGGGATAGAAGAAGTTCCTTAAAGTGTGTTAATTCTGCCTGTTCCAAAAGCAGAGTCTTTGCTCCCTGTGGGATTCACTGCTGTGCACACAGAGTAACGTTCATGCCCAGCTGCAATCAGCCTCCCAACATGCTCTCTGGAGTCTGTGGTCACAGAAACTGGACTTTCTGGAGTAGTTTGAAAATGCAGGGACCAAACTGACTGCTGGGCTTGGTCTGGCATCTCCGTGTGGTCCTTCAGCCGGCAGTGACTTCATCCCTTTCCCATGAAGATTGTGGTTTGCTTGGATACACCCCACACACTGCAGGGTTTTATCATGGTGTCAGAGACTTCTGGCCATTGCTCAGCTTCCAGAGTTTGGTGTCTGCCACTCAGCAGGACAGCAAATGACTGTCTGCCCTGTGCAGGCTGTGACTGAGCTGTGGCTGTGCTGGGATTTCTACAAGGAGCTAAACCAGATAACCTGGATCACAATAAGCCATTGGGAAAGGCTCTTATCTTCAAGTCAGTTTGAGCAGGAGCTGCAGATGTAATGTTCAAATGAACTGGGGTTGCCAGGATAGTTGGAAACTGTCATTTTTAGTTTGATTCTGCTTTTATAGTCAAGTGGGCAAACATAGGTGAGGAAAGTGAGCCAGGTGCAATTCAGCCACTGAGGTTTGACCAGGGAATATTTATTTAGGAAGCAATGCATGAAATCCATGGATATTGGCCTCAGAGATGCTGCTGGTGTGATGCTTTCCCCAGACTGTGGGAACACTGGGGGCACAACTGCTGCTTTCCACATCCTGAGAGAGGTATCTACCCAGACTTATCTCGGCCTATGTAAACATCGGGTTAACTCCTCTTTTTTTCCCCCCATCTGTATCTGGTTCTGCCATGCATGTGTTCACCTGGATATCAGCTCTGAGAAAGCTGATGTTGGCTCTAACAGTGTCTGCATTCCTTCCAGGGAGCAGATTCGCCAGGGCCTAGAGGAGCTGCAGAAAGTCCTTCCAGGCGGCGACACCTACATGCACGAAGGATTTGAAAGGGTAACTAGGTGCATGCTGTAGTGTCTCAAACTGTGTCTGGTGCTCCTCAGGAAACCTTAGACAGAGGAATCTGGTTAATCATGCTCTGGTAGGTGAGTGGGACTATGTCCCTCTAATGCAATAGGTACGTGAGGGACAAGTGTTCAGTGTTGGAGCTGCAAACCTACAACTTCCCTTTATTTCTGCCTTCAGCTTTCTTGGGAGGAGCTCAGGACGAGGCAGAAGATGTTGGCATTGCAATCCCACATGGCACCTTGTTCATGAAGGGTAGAGAGCTGTCAGTCCTGCATGGGTGTTACAGCAGTTAGAGTTGGGTGGGGGCTGAAGCCATGGCACCTGTTCCCACTGGTGGCCAATAATGCTGTGCAGAAGTTTCTGCCTGCTCTGACCTTCTCTTTATGATGTATTTTCTATATACTTTACAAGCTCAGGAGTTTGTTTAAACCTGAACTCCTGCACTCCCTCCCACTTGTGTCCTACATGTGTGTTTGGGAGGATTTTGGACAGTGCCTATTGAAAATGTATGTGAACACACCAGACCTGACAGAGAGATTGGTTTATTTGTGATTGGAGTAGTTGATCTGCAGGTGCTGGGGAATGTTTATCAACAGAGCCAGGATGTTTCTCAAGAGGAGGGTGAATGGGATTTTCAGAGAGCAGAATAGTGGGAGACAACATTACTTTTGGCCTAAGGTTGATTTGACTGAGTTGTGCTTTGGTAAGACCTTGGATTAATGCGATCAGAACCACAGGCAGGAGCAGAGGTGATGTGCAGACTGCAAACGTGGTGTCCTCACTGCCATCATCCTTTTCTTTCCAGTGCATGACAAGATGCCCACAAAATATTATTGCTGATTTATCACTAATCATCTTCTCATTTAATTTCAGGCAAGTGAACAGATTTACTATGAAAATGTTCACGGTGAGAGACTTTCTTGATCCATTGGATGTTTTGGTTTTCTCTTTCTTTTGGACTGATAACTTCAACAGATTTGAAATGCAGCTTCACTCTGGGGAGGGTGGGGGTGGCTGCTACT